GGCCCCAACCAATAAAAGTTTCAGTTCGATAACTCCTCCTTTTCATATTAAACTTCATGCAGATCTCCATATGCCTCTCCAATGCTTCTTCCAGTGATATCTTCCTCTTCCTCTTCTTCTCCTTCACTGCTTCTGAACAAAGCCCGCAGATCCATCGACCAAAGAAGAACTCTCTAACTCTGGATACGTAGTTAGGAGTAAAGTCTTCTGCCATTCCACAGCACTCGCATTTGATCAGCATAACCTGATCGGCCTGCAGGTTCTGATCACCGCCTGCTGAGCCTTCTTCTTCTTGACCAATTATGCTGTTATTGAACTGCATGGTATATAGTTAGCTCGTAAAGATTAAAAAAAGGGTTAAATTGTAATGAATGATGAGATGATCATCTTTGCATGATAAAGCCAGCAATTTATAGATGTATGGAGATTGTATGTAGACTGTGAGCCTTTTGATATGTGGTACACGTCAAGATAAATATGTGGTTACGTGGGTTTTATTTGTGAACAAGCTTTTGCATGTGAAGAGCTTTTACTCGATTGAAAAGGAAATGGGAGAGAGAGATGGAGTGATTATTTGGTTGGGCTGACTACTTTTTGTTAGAATCTTGCACTTTGTACAGCAGATATGTCTTAATTAAGAGACAAAGTTTGACAACTTTTCTAATTGTACTGTTGATAGCGGGTTAATTAAAGTATTGGCTTTTATTTGATATTTAGATATTTTGAAGGACAAGTTCAAAGGGGTGTAAACTAACTGAGTCAAGTTTGAGCACTACTTCATTTGAGACTTAAGACTTTGTTTGGGACGGTTTTCTTATTACTGTTTTTTAAAGAAGCTTTTTAATACAAAATTTTTACTTTTTGTACTAAAAACTTGTTTAAGGAAATAATAAGAAAGCCGTCCGAAATGAAGCTTGGAAACGTTATGACGCTACTTTTTAGATGCTTTTAAGAAAATTTTTATACTAAAAAACTAGTGTAGAAAGCAGTAAGAAAGTTATCCCAAACAAAACTTAAGTTTAACTAACTAATTATGAATTTGAGTAGGCTTAGGCTTTGTAAGGGACGGCTTTCTTATTGTTTATTAAAGCTGTTGTTTAGTAAGAAAGTCGTCCCAAATGAAGTCTTATTATAATCCAAAGAAATAATTATTATTCAAATTATTATTGTAATAAAATGATAAAAAGAAAATAAAATTAATAATACTTATATATAATAATTATTTATTTATGAATTTGAGTAGGCTTAGGCTTCATTTGGGACGACTTTCTTACTGTTTGTTAAAGCTATTTTTTTATAAGAAAGTCATCCCAAATGAAGTCTTATTATAATCAAAAGAAATAATTATGATTCAAATTATTATTGTAATAAAATGATAAAAAGAAAATAAAATTAATAATACTTATATAATAAGATATTTAACAATTTTGAACTTAAATTCTTAAATTCTGATATATTTTATATTAATATATAATTTTTAAATGAGTCAATTTATGAGCTAACAACGCTATTAAGGGTTGGCTCATCGAGCTTGACCACAGAGCTAGCCCATGCTGGCTCAAGAATTGACTTTATTTTAAGTGTAAAAATGTGATTAATGGCTTTTTTTTGTTGATTAGGTTGGAATGAATTTGACATGCATGCTCTCTAAGTCATTTTTTAATTCTAATAAAAATATTTATTTATATAATTTTTATTTATTGGAGTTGGAATATTTGAATGCTTTCCAACCTTGTTTATATTTAAATTACTACTTAAAAAATGAAATATTGTGATTCTATCAATTTATAATCTCAGCATTTCAACTTTGAAAAATAATTTCAACAGTTCCTTAGTTTGCACAAATATTGAATTATTAATTGGTTTTGATTTATAATAATTAAATAGACTTTTAAGACTGATCACAATTCAAAACATAGAATAAATTTTATTAATGTATTGTAATTATAAGATTCATTGAATCTATAAGCTCATATGAAGTTATTTAAGCATAAAAACTCCTCTAATATCATTTTTTAGAATCATTATATTTATCCTAAATCTTAGCCATTCTATCTTAGACTATCTTTTTTTTTTATCTTTCAATAATTTTTTTTGTCAAAATGTTTTAGTATCCTTGAATAAATATTCAATAGATTCAATATTTTTACGTTTTCTTATCCATTTTATTTTCAAATTATTCAAATATCTCTTTTAATTAAATTATTTAAAATTATAATGATTCTTGTAAACATATGTATGGCAGCAGTAATATGAATGTTTGATTGTTACTGTTTGGCTTTTCAAATCACAATCATAATTCTGTTTGGCTAAAATTTTCTTGGGGGATTTACATACATACCACTTTATTTCATGCTATTTACAATCTAACATATAAAACTTTAATATTGCATGTCTACCACCTATAGAATAAATATGCATGGGTGCATGAAA